GACCACAAACCTTCCGCTCTTTTGGCCCGACTTCGTCCTTCGTCCGACCTACTTCTTCGCCCGACCCCACTTGGGCCGACCTCCATATCAACCGCCCCCTGTCTTTGATCAAAGGCCTCCGCGTTTGTCCGACTCCGCCTTCTATCCGACCTACAGTTTACCCGACCTGCGGATATCCTATCTCGACAACTTTTCCGTCTCGAAGACCTCCCGACTTGAAAACCTTCCGATTCATCGTCTTTCCGTCTTGCGGACCTCCCGACCTGAAGACCCTCCGACTTGAGGTCTCTCCGTCTTGCGGACCTCCCGACCGGAAGACCTTCCGACTTGAGGTTTTTCCGTCTTGCGGATCTCCCGACCTGAAGACCGTCCGACTTGAGGTCTTTCATCTTGAGGGCCTCCCGACCTGAAGACCTTCCGACTTGAGGTCTTTCCGTCTTGCGGACCTCCCGACCTGAAGACCTTCCGACTTGAGGTCTTTCCGTCTTGCGGACCTCCCGACCTGAAGACCTTCCGACTTGAGGTCTTTCCGTCTTGCGGACCTCCCGACCCGAAGACCTTCCGACTTGAGGTCTCTCCGTCTTGCGGACCTCCCGACCGGAAGACCTTCCGACTTGAGGTCTTTCCGTCTTGCGGATCTCCCGACCTGAAGACCGTCCGACTTGAGGTCTTTCATCTTGAGGACCTCCCGACCTGAGGTCCTTCCGTCCTGAGGACCTACCGACCTGAGAACCTTCCGTCCTGAGGACCTACCGACCTAAAAACCTTCCGTCCTGAGGTCTTTCCGTCCTGAGGACCTACCGACCTGAGGTCCTTCCGTCCTGAATTTTCCTTAGAAATAAATAAATAAATTTATTTTCCTTGATTTCCTCACGGTGTCCTTCAGCCAGTTCAATCAACCCTATTGCCAGGCCCATTCCTCGTTTTACCTTGGGCTTTTAACCTAATTCTAAATTTCGTACGTAACAAGTATATATTATTTTTCAAAAAAATAAAATTATATATCACTATCTAAAAAATAAAATTATACATTATTTTTCAAAAAAATAAAATTACATATTATTTTTTGAAATATAAAATTATATATCATCTTGTAAAAATACATAAAACACAACAAAAATACACAAAAATTTCACTCTAAAAATAGAATAAAGATACTAAAAAATGGAATAACATTGTACCTGCAAAAATGGAGGAGATATTTCTTATTTATAATTTTATTATTCAAATTTTAATAAATAATAAGTTTTTATTATTTTTTTATATTTATTTTATTATTTTTTTTATCAATCATTTAATAATTTTTTTTTTTCATAATACTCCAATTTTACTTTTATCTATTCTATTTTTTAGTTAAAATATCATTATGTTTTAAACAACCCATTTTATATATGATGAACACATATAATAAAACCATTCTTCGCAACTATTAGATCAATTTTAATAAGCTATGGAACAAAAGAAATTACCATCTTTTATTTACTTAATAAAAGTAAATAAATACCCTGAAGGATTATTATTATTATTATTGTTATTATAATTATTATTACTATTACAACAAAATATTCCCTCCGTCCCAAAACTGTAGTCTTAATTGAGTTTGACACGGAATTTAAGGAATATTGATATTATATTGGTAGTTGGTAAAAAGTATAGATAAAAGATTTTTTTGCTCTTGCGAGTGTATTAGTGTAAAAAGTAGTGACAATTATGTAATAGAAATGAAAGAGTATGGGTAGTTCTATAGTGATAGGGTTATTTATGGAAATAAAACTATTGTTTTAGGACGGACAAAAATGATAAATAAAACTATTGTATTGAAACGGAGGGAGTATTAATTTTGAATTCAATTAAGCAAATTATAAAACACCACACTCATAAATTTCTATTTACTTACCAATTGAAACATAACAAGAATATTTTAAAATAATAATAATAATAATAATAATAATAATAATTTATACAAAATATTTCGAGGGTGTTTGAAAAACAAGAACTTTTAGCTTATTGAACAGCTTTTAGCTGCTTGACCAGTCAAAAAGTTAATTTAGATGTTTGGTAAATTAGCTTTTTGAAAAAGTTTTTTGGACCAAAAAAGCTAATTTCTGAAAAGCTTATCTACCAAGCGATTTGAAAGAGCTTTTATAATTTTAATTTTGTTTATTCCTTATTTACCCATAAAACTTAATTATTTATTTTATACATATAAATATATATTTATAGAAGTATTTATTAATTATTTTTAATATATTTAATTTATTAATTATATTTTTATTTTTATAAATTTAAAATAAGTACTATTATTAATTATTACATATAAATTATTTTATTTGTAAAATATATAAAATTTTAAAACTAAATCAACTAGAAAAAAAAATTATTAATTTATTTATATATATTAAAACAATAATTAATATAATAAAAAAATATATACGAAAGATTTATTATTTTATCTTTTACATAATTTCAATAAAAAATAATTATTTTTTAGTAAAAATAATTTTCTCAAATCTAAATAATAAAAATAAAAATGAATATTTTATAATTTTCAATATTCAATAACAAAAATTCTCATAAATTTCAAACCAAAATGAACAAAATTAAATATTTTAAAAAATAACATATCAACGTCCTTAATAATCATTTTATGTATAAACAACTAATGTCAAACAATATCAAACAGTTATTTTATCAAACACTTTAATACAAACAACTAATTGAATCAGCTAATTGAATCGACTAACAGCTAATTGCCTAGACGCATCATTTATATATTTGTATTAAAGTACAAACATTTCTATGGAATAAGTTTAGATTAGAAAGCAAATTAATTAATAACTAAAGTGACATTCAACAGTTATATTTATATAAAGGCCAATGCGTAATATAATTCCAAATAATTAAAAAAATAAATAAATATAAAAATAATTGATTACGATTATTTATTTAAAAGTAATTGATTAGGAATGATTTAGGGTATGTTTGTTTGGGAGATTTTTTCCCAGATACACTATTTATTCAATTTTTTTCTTCATAAATATTAAATTAAACACTTATTTTTATTTTTAATATTATACTAAAAATTAATTTTATATTCAAAATATTACATCAATAGTTATTTATATCACATCATACAACTGTTCAAATTTAAAATTTTTACTATTTAAATCTCGAGTCCAAAATCCAAACTCCCAAACAAATAGCATGGGCGGTGGGAATGGGAATGGGATAAATGCCTTTTTAGACTATTGTGCAGCATGGAAGTGATAATCCATATATAGCTGCATTTGGTTGCATTATTAATTCACCTAACTCACAAATAATATAGCCACCCACATGCTTTGCTCCACCAATATATTTAAAATAAAAGAAAATAGGCTTAATTATTTATTTATTATTAAAAATAAAAAATAAAAATAGAAGAAATACATAATAAATCCTTCGTTACCAGCGTTTTTAAATAAATTAATTTTTGTGAATAATATAAAAAAATTATGTCAAAAATTTAAAATATATTATTTTAAGTTGAATTTGACTTTTTAATTTTATGTAATTAATATTTGAAGTTTTTTGTTTTGAATTTTTTACTTTTATTAAAAATATATTGTGGTTTTTTTGGTATCAAATTTCATGTTGGAAGACCAGATGTTTCAATTGATACATTTATATTTTTAATAAATTTATTAATATAAATATATTTAACAAATATAAACCAGTTTAATTAAATTTAAAAATTTAATTAAATTGATTTATATATATATTATCTTTATTTTGAAAAAAAAAACAAAAAAATAAAAGGATCTTTGTAGCTAGACGGAGAGAATATATAAGAGGAGTGTATAAATAGTATTCCTTCCGTTCCACTTAATTTTTCTACTATTTTTATTTTCGTTCGTCCCACATAATTTGTCATTTCATTTTTTGAAAATATAATTATATATTTTAATTATATTTTAAAATTCATAATTTATAATTTTTTTTATTTTAATTAAATTATTTAATTATCTTAATCTTATTCTATAATTATTTTTATTAAATAATAATTATTTTTACTAATACACTTTTTAATTACTTACTAATTACTCCATACCTTAACCAAACAAAATAGCTGAGAGAGAGAGTATTGTATATTATGTTCTCTTTTTTTTTTTGGTAATATTTTTTTAAAAAATATATAGTTAATTTTAAGCTTAGCTCAATACATTCTAATTCATTTTTATTTTATTTTTATTTTTTTATTATAAAATATTTTTTCGATGGTAATATATTATTAAGAAAACAACACATCTAACCAAATAATCAAATAATAATTAGAATAATACTTCCTCCGTTCCGTCCCATTCCGTCTCATAACAAAGTATCCATTTTTTCATTTTAGTCCGTCCCATAACAAAGTATCCATTTCTTTTTTAAATAACTGTACTTTCTACCTAATATTACAAATACTCTTACAACTTACAATATATTACACAAATGTCATTACCTTTGTATCACACATACTAATAAGGTTATTTTAGTCATTTATACTTTATTCCTACTATATTCCAATATAATACTAATATTTCTAAAACTACGTGCAAAAAACAAATGGATACTTAGTTTCGGGACGGAGGGAGGAATAATAATAACCCCTCTTTGTTGGACTGCGGGCAAGGCTTCCTCACCATGTATGTACTAGGAATTTCGTGTGATTGAAAAATTAAATTACTAAAAATAAGAAAAAACACAAAAAACAAACATTCTCTAACTTTTCCGTGAATTTCAATTTTTGATACTTTATTTACAAATTTTACTAAAACAATTCCAAATTAAACACGAAGAGACCGACTAAAATCTATTCAAATTATACTATGTAAAAAATTATACTAGAAGAAAAAGTATAAAACATTGGCTAGCTCACAAAATAAAGGGAAAGAATAAAAAAAAAAGATCGAATTTACCATAAGGACCATGTCAATTTGATATGATCCGACCTGACCCAATCCGATCCGATTGCGAAATCACATGAGAGGTGGCCAAAGGGAGCTATGGTTGAGCTCATCATTCGGATACGGATCGATCCAAGATTGATCCATCTCGACGGCTTTGCTCCACCGTCTTTTGAATAACTTGTACTCATTATACGACTGCCTTCTCACCTACCGCCACCATCACCACGACCATAATATTAGGTAAGTATGAGTATAATGTGTGGCATACTCGGAATAATTCACATTTTGATCATATCAAGTAGTTTCTGTACTCACTTCAAGTCTCCGGTTGATTGAGTTTGGCTGCGCTTGAGATTGTCTTCCTTCTCCTCCGGCCTAAAATGGATAATTATTCCGAAATAAAGGAAGAAAAAGACTTAGACAACCAAAAGCAAACAAAACAAAAAAAGAAATCCAAAAACTAATGTGTTCTTCGATGTCTCTCTCTTTTATATGCGATTTTTTTGAAAAAAAAAAAATCGAAAAAAGATCATATGCATTTCAATAAATACTTCATCCATGAATGATTAAAATTCTCAATAAATAAAACCAAAACAACATATTCAAACTAAACATAAATTCAAGTGTATTTAACAGTATCACATTATCATATATTAATATAATACAAATGCAATGTATAAATTAATATTATAAGACAATTAGATATATCAATTTTTCATGTGTTAACTAGGACAAATCAACATCCTTAAATTTTTTGAAATAGATTCACTACATAATCTTCCATTTTTTTCATGCAAAATGCTTCCATAACAAGATAAAATATTTTCATCCTACAAAGGCCAAAGAAATTTACTACATGCAATATTAAATTTCTTCTCGTACATCAAATAATTATTTTTAATTAAAAACATCGATAAATGATAGCGAGCAACATTAAGATCGTCTTGACCATTAAAACAAACCTTCTCAGGCTCGCCGAGCGTAGGCAATCCATAGTGAACAACGTACTCAGCATCTATGATCCCTATAGTTTTCATTCGATCACCCTTCACAAGTTCCAAACAACCGATCAAACAACATCGCCACAAATTAAGAGGAAGTAAAGTTGAGTAAGTAAGCGATAAAAAAAGAGTAAAAATAAAATTACCTGCGCGCAATAGCCAAGCCGCATATCGAGCCCCCAGGCATGGATCAAATCATTCTGCAATGAGAAAAAATAGATATTACCGGTATAACTATTGTTGGTTGACTATATAATAATTAATAATGTGTGTTTTAAGTTTAATTTTTTAGGTGAGATAGTCAATTAGTATCTTGCACATAAGGGTGGTATACTGATTAACTATATAATAATGAGAAAACTATTTTTAATCATCTCCGTGACCATTTTTATTATTTTAGGATACATAACTAAAATTTGTATTAAATTGGTTCTACGATTAAAAAAATTTCGCAGAAATAGTCCTCAGACCCGATGAGCCATGATGCTGCCGCCACGACAGCTGCGGCACCTAAAGACCATTTCTGCCAAATTTTTTTAGTTATGAAATTAATTTAATACATAGTCTAGTTACGATTTTAAAATGATAAAGATAGTCACGTACGGGGCTAAAAAAAAATAATTTACCTAATAATTACTAATGATGCAATCTCTCTTCGATAAATTTTTAGGTAAAATGATCATTTAACAATCGATCATTGTTTAAGAAAGCAATCTGCATACCTGAATCATATACCAAACACAGCGCCACGCAGCTGCAGAGAATACCGGCGCCATCACTTCTATCCACCTGTCGAACACATCGAAGTACTGTTAACATACTTGCAAAGAGAAGTATTGCATTACCCTAACCGGACTAAAATCGATCACCATTTGTGTTATTTAGTTATGTACTAAGAAAAAGTGCAGAGTTGTTTAACTGTAAATTCTACCCGGTGCACGGAGGAGAGGAGCTGTTATCGTTGCATTGAACGCCCTTCCCGTCAAGCTTATAGACCCTTCTGCAGTACGAAAAACACATAGTTACAACAGCAGCCAGTTCTCCGAAGAAATACAAACCAGAATATATACACTACCTGTGGACAGTCGATTTTTTCCACCGCGCTGTGATGAGATGGTGCAGCTCAGATGGCCCAACTTCAAGCGCCGGTTGTGATATTTGCAGCCCTTCATCTTTCACAATCGACAGATATCTGAATGCACCGGCGCAAAGATGTTCAAGCCAAAAGGGCAACAAAAAAAAAAAAAAAAACGGATGTATCGATTGCAATGTAGTAACAATTCGCATACCGATCAGGGTGGAAATTATCGACACCAAGGTCTTCATCCCATAAGAAGACATAATCATAGTCTGCTACAACATCCGGATGTAAAAATCTCTTTGCAAACCACCTAGCAGCGAAATTCTTAAGCTTGGCATAAATTCGAACACAGAACATGATATGGTTTCTGTTATTCATCGTACCATTTAGTTTGATTATCGACAGATATATGCATCACACTTCTACTCCATTGAAATTCATTCCATCCCTCGACAACGCCATCATAGTGGAAAAGCATAACAACAGAATTGCTCTCAAGAAACTGATCATTAAGGCGTTTCGACACAATCAAGACAAGAATTATCGAATGCAGATTCCCAAAAGAACTTCAAGCCGCGGAGACTTTTACCTTTTGCACCATTTTATCCACATTTTCCTTCTGCTTTATCCCGACTGCAGCAGCAAATAAACTTCTAGAAGCATTTATCTTCTGCGGCGCACAATTACAAGTTCAGAGTTATAAAGATCGAAGGTTGAATTTCAGGGATGAGAAAATCGTAGTAAAAGAAAGAACATAAAGCTAAAGGTTTCTACAAGTTATATAGTTTATTCGCACCTCCGGTCGCCCCCACAAAGGCCGTGCTTCCAAATTTGAAGTTTTCGCCAGAATCCCTTTCGGAAGCTTCTCTGTTCCAGGAGGCCTGCATTCTCTCTAGAACAGAGTTCACAAATTAGGCGTTGAGATTCATTGTTAGAAGAACTTCCACTCTAAGGGTTCGTTTGGTAAGGAGATACAATTGCATAGAAATGATCGGAGAAAATAAAATTTAAAAGAAAACTAAGCAACAGGGAATGATAATTGATTCTTCGATTTGTTATAACATATAATTCAGTTGAAAATGTAAAAATTAAATGTAGCTATCTGGATAAGACAATATATTGCGACTGCAAAAAGAAATACTGCATCGATCAAGAGGAGATGATGAGTTTTAGTGAAATGAGAATCCTTAGAGAAATATTGCCGATGTGTTTAATTGGTGATTCTTGTTTTTTTTGTTTGAATTACAATTGTGAAAATTAAACATAAAAAAATAAAAAAATTGACAAATGAACACACCGTGTCTATATTTTCGTTTCTCTTCGTTTCTTTTCACTGGGAAGGATTGGCAAATTATTAATCTCTTTTTTCTATTTTTCTATCTTCATTTATCTGTACAAAACAAACTCTAATTCCAAACGCAAATTTCTTCGCTATTTGACATAAAAATTCATCGAAAATATGATCATTCCATGATTCGAAATTTGAAACAGAGAAGATTGCAACAATGGTGTAAGGTTTAAAAGAAACACATACTCCACAGGTATCACATTTCTGGACATTATTCTTTTGTCTTGGCGGACTCCTACTCTTTCTCAGCTGTCTCTGCGCAAGACTGCGAGTAAGTAGCTAAGAACAATGGGATGAAAACAGCAGAATTTTTATTACAAGTTTCAAAATTTTCATGTTACCAATGCAGGGAAGGGAAGGCGAAAAATTAGAGGAAGAGAATCGCAATGTATGTGATGGAAATAAAATCACTAATGGCGCGCACCTCACCTCTTTGTTGTACCGTTCTATAACCTCTTTATCGTGCTGTTCGATTGTCATGCTCCATATGAAGAGTATAAGAAAGAACAGAGGAACTGCCGAAAAGAGGCCACGAAGAACCGATCCCCATCCTTTTCTGTCTCTTAGCAATGACATCTGAGAAGGCGAAAACAACGAAAATGGTCTTGAAGTTCATTACATTAGGCTATGTTTACATAGATACTTTTTGAACTTTTGACACTATTCATTTATAATAATTTTTCTAAGCATATATATATTTACAAAATATCACATCTAAGTATTCGCTGTTGCCAAAAGTTTTCAGAACACCAAAACTTCTATCTAAACGGACAAGGTTTTTCAGTCTATAGCTATATTGAAGCAAAGGCTTCTTCGGATTATTAGATAGAATGAACTGCTGAACAACCTAAAAAAGTTGTTTTTACTTGTCACGGACATTATTTTCAATACCTAAACTCGATACAAAACATTACATCAATCACTAAGAATCCACAAGAGATTCGTCGAATGACCATATCATCCAAATGTTCGTCATTTTATACGTTTTTAATCGTCGGAGCACCACTCACTCATGTCATCAGGATTAAATCCTTGCTCTAAGCCTTAATTTACACACTGACCTCTCTTTCCATCAAGAGATGAGATTCAAAAACTGGAACTACATACTCGAATTCAACATTAAACTTAAGCTCTGTTTATATAGACACTTTCGTAACTTCTATAACTGTTCATAGTAACTTTTTCAAGAAAACATCACATGAAACATTTTTTTCTATCTCACAAAAAAGTCCAACTGTTACCAAAATTTTCCAAAACTGACTTCCAAACACTTCTATCTGAATGAAGCCTAAACTTACTCCAATATCATAAACATATAATCAAATCAATTTGACATGACATTCATATCGAAACTTAAGCAAAATCGAGTTAATAACTTCCAGAATTTACAGACGACAGAGACATTAATCGTAAACTGAACCAATCCAATGAAGAATCAAATCATCTACAGAACGAGGAATCCAATACGCGAATTGGAGAACAATCAATCAAATTACGGAGTAACCAAATCAAAATCGAACAGAATCACAAATCGAGGCGACAATCTTATCTCCCTAAACTTACCGTCACAAATTAGCAAACACCTTCTGCGCATCCCGCATATCTACCGAATCTATATATGTATATATTTTAATTCAATCCACAAATTCAATTTCAATCAGACGACATCCTGATTTTCAATGAACCGAACAAAATTTGGAGATGAAAACATACTCTCTGCTTCCGATTTGCAGAATTGGATGCTCAAAAACATGCAATCGTTGACATACGTAACTAAAACCTCCTCCGCCGCGTGCACACAGAGAGAGAGAGAATGAAGAAAAGCGAAGAAGACGGCGAGGAAATGGGAGAACTGCGTTTCACACCACTCCTTTAATTTCGCTAATTAATACTTTTTGATTCTGCAAATATTTATTTTAAATTATAATAATAATTCAAATTGAATCGCTAATCGATAACGCAGCGAGTGAATTATTTGGATGATTGTCTGAATTCGGAAAGATATTAAAATCTCTGGCACAATTGCATGGTTTTCGGCTACTGGATTTTAATTTATTATTTGCATGCATTGGTGGTTGCAGTGGACGTACGTAGCCCTCATGCAAATGTAATATATCCCATGCCATAATTAGATATATATATATATATATACACGCGCACAGTGGCGGACCTAGGGCTAATTTTGAAATTTATAAAATAATATATTTTATTTATAAATATTTATTTGTTATAAAAAAAATTATCATTTTAATTATTATATTTTGAAGAAAATAAATACAAATAACAAACTACAATAATAATAGTAGATATACACTGTATTGTAAATTTATCCTCCCTTCGTCCCAAAATTATAATTTGGGTTGTATTTGACACGAGATTTAAAAAATATTGATATTATATTAGCTGTGGATAAAAAATACGGGTAAAAAACTTTTTTGCCCTTGTGAATGTATTAGTGTAAAAAGTAGTGGCAATTGTGTAATAATAATGAAAAAATAATGGTAGTTTTATAGTGATATAGTTATTTATGAAAATGAGACTATTGTTTTGAGACGAACAAAAATGATAAACAAGACTATTGTATTGGAATGAAAGGAGTATATCGGATCAAGACCAAAAATAAATGTATGCACCGGCAGATCCATCAGTCGTGGGGTTATAGGACCACTTGAATATATATATACTCCTTCCTTTCCAAAAGAAGTGTGTTATTGAGAGTTGGCACGAGAATTAAGGAATAATAGTATTTAATTGAAAGTGGTATAAAGTAGAATGTAAATGACTAAAATGTCTTTGTTTTTTAAAGGATTTTAAAGAGTATGTTAGAGTAATAATTAGGAATAGTATATAAAAGTAGGAATAATTTTGTTATAAAGTGGGGACCACAACTACTAAATAAGGAAACAAGACAATTATTTTGGGACGAACGAAAATGAAAAAATAAAGACAAATCCTTTGGGACGGAGGAAGTATTAATTATTTAATTTCTTTTTTATTCAGAAAAATCAAATGACAAACTCATTAATTTATATAATTACTCCAATGATTTATTTAATTTTTTTTTAAAAAATAATTAATTATATAATATATATTACTCCATCTATAGTTCAAATATGTGTTCATTTGACTAAAAAATAGATAAAAGGGTAAAAACAATATAGAAAAAATAGTACTTTTCACTAAAAAATAAAATAAGAATAAATTTAGATGACAACAGAATAAATTTAAATTCGATAATTTATTCAATTTTCTTCATTTTGATTGCAACTCTGTAAGCAAAACATAAATTTTTTCTTCAATTTTCACTATAAATAATAATGTAATTAAACATTTTTAATATATGAAAATACGGAAATGACAATTTTAATTTATATATTTTATATTGTAATGATATTTTATCAAATTGTGTACCAACTTGAAAATCCGGCTGGATCGGCCACTGAATGTATGGTTTAATTAGGTGAATCAAATAATTGAATAAACACAAAACAATGGCCCGGCCATCGGAAGACGGCTCCGGCAGCTTCTCGGACAGATCGACCAATATGACATCTTCTCCGGTGGTGCCTCCTCCACCGGCAACGGACAGCTCTAGGCGGTTGGGCAACGGTCATCTTATCCGGCGATTGGAACTCCTCCGAACGATCCAGAACATAATCGATCTTCCTCCGATATTCTCAAACGGTTTTATTAGATGCTCTGAATGACCGTCTTATCTAAAAAATTAAACTATTAGAAATACGCATAAATAATTATGTGCTTCATTTGGCTCTGAATAACCACCACACCTAAAAATTTAAACTATTAGAGATATGCATCATTAATTTATTTATCTACATATGGAATCAACCAATAGGCTTCTTCCCCAATTGGTTCCCGAACTTTCTCCAATCTACTTTAATCTCTCATCAGAGACTAAGGAATGTTGATTTCGTTTCAGCTTATGGTGCGAAATGGCCTAAGGTAATCACGGATACTTCACTCTAAACCTTAACACTTATCGTAATCGACACAAAAAATAGATTCAATTTCTCACTGGAAGTTCTCAAAATCTCACCGGAATCACTCACCGAAACCCCGCCAAACTTACCGGAGTTGGTCCCTCTCGACTCTCTCTCTCGGTTTCACACTAAAACTCACATTTAAACCATCTTTTCTCTAAATCCCAAAACTATAATCTAACAAAGGCAACAAACTCATACACATTGCTTGGGTTTGGGTAAAAGGTTTGGGTTTGGAAATTTGAGTACGATGACCGAGCTAAGGAGTAAGCCAAACTCATTATATTTTTTTAAGAATCGGTTTGGTTACACCTCAAACGACCGGAATTCCCAACCTATGTGTTTTGATTTTCATATTTATTCAATCCATATAGTAATAACTAATATATATATATATATATATATGTTAAAATAAAAAAACTCAAATCACATATTACTTTGAAAATTTTGATAATAAGTGTGTTTTATTTGGATATTTGACTTAATGTTTTGCCATAAGAAATATATAGTATATTTTCTTTTATAAATTTGATGGTATTTATCATATTTAATATACTCCCTCCGTCCCATATACTCTGTCTGCTACACTGTAGACACGGTATTTTAAGAGGGGTATAATTAGTAAATAATTAAAAAATGTATTAGTGAAAATAATTATCTTATAATATAAATAATTATAAATTAAGATTAAGATAACTGTTTAGTTTAATTAATTTCTAAAAAAAAATAAATTAAAAAGTTTAAAATGAGATTAAAGTGTGTAATAATTTTCCGAAAAAAGAAAGTGATTTTTTATGATGGACAGAAACGACAACGTGGACATAGTATGTGAGACGGAGGGAGTATAATTTTTTTATTATTTTCCAAATTCTCCTAAACTCCAGACTTCTCGTAAAACTCATCTAATGTTTTTTATGATGTTTTTGGGATGAAGTTGTGCTTTTTGTACCTATATTAGAGGGGAGCCTTGTTATGCACGAATAGTTATTAATTTTATTGAATTATTAAATTAATTGTTGTTATTAAATATATATATATATAACATTTTAATATGAAAAGTATTTGAATAAATTAAAATATTTCACATGATCAATTTTTAGTATTCTAAATATTGGAATTGATATATTTTATAGATTAAATATAGATATTAAAAAAAATGATGTCTATATATAATATTAGTGGTGTTTATTTATATTTTTATAAGCAGTTTTAAAATTGTAAATTAGTTGAACATTGTGTCATATAAAAAATTTAAGATGTCTGAACAAAGCCAAAGTTAAATTTCATTTATTTATAATAAAAAATTTATCCATCCATAAATTTATTATCCTTAATTGAACAAATAATTATCAAATTTGTCACTATTTTTCTACTTACCACACTATAATATCCTCAATTTATTTTCTTAGCTACCTCACTTTTTTTGTTAAAATACTTTTATTTCTTAGTCGCTATGTCCGGACAATATGACATAAAAAGTTCGGATAAAGAGAGTAAAAAACAATGCATAATTTACTTAGTTATCATATATTGAACAATATATATTTATATAAGCTAATTTTTTACCATATTAAA